ATAAATCTGTTTGTGTGTTACATATTACAACTGAAAATAAAATGGAGAACTCTATTTATAGAGTTCTTTGGGGAAAGGGGAAAACAACGGGAAAGTAAAACTGAAATAATCGATTACTGTCTTTAGACAGTAATCTCAATAGCCTCCCCTCAAGCTGGATGGTGTATGCTCACCAATCCAAGCTTGGGAACGATGGATCTGAACCGCACGCGATGGGGAAATTTTGTGAAGACATCTGCCAGCTGTTCATCCGACCGAACGGGGAGAAGACGTAGGAGATTGGCCTGTAGTTTTTCACGAACAACATGACAGTCAAGCTCTATGTGCTTGGTTCTTTCGTGAAAGCTCTGGTTATGAGCTATGTGTCGCGCTGATTTGTTGTCACAGTATAGGGCAGGAGTTCCAGTTTCCCGTACTTGAAGGTCTTGTAGGAGATAGTGAAGCCACTGTATTTCACATACAGTGGCTGCTAGGGCACGATATTCCGCCTCGGTGGAAGATCTGGAAACCGTGCTTTGTTTTTTTGACTTCCACGAAATGAGGGATGATCCAAGGAAAACACAAAACCCTGTAGTGGACCTTCGAGTAGTTGGACACGTTGCCCAATCTGAGTCGCTAAAAGCTTTTATATGAGTTTGAGAATCAGCCCCAAAGAACAAGCCCTCTGAGGGCTTAGATTTGATGTACCTGAGAACATGTTGGACAGCCCGATAGTGATGGTTAGTGGGAGATTTCATAAACTGACTCAACAGATTAATGGAAAAACACAAGTCAGGTCTGGTATTGGTGAGATATAGTAACTTCCCTATCAATCGTCGGTAGGGGCCAGGGTCATCTAAGTAGTTGTCTGCTTTATACAGTGTGCTTGTATCACTTAAAAAGGGAGTAGAAGATGGTTTGCATCCCAGCATTCCTGTCTCCTTAAGGATGTCCAACGCATATTTTCTTTGACATAGATGTATACCTTTCTTGGATCTGGCCACCTCCAAGCCTAGGAAGTATTTGAGTTCTCCTAGGTTCTTTATTTGAAACTTGTTGTGCAACAAAGTCTTTATGCTGTTGATTTCAGTCATGGAGTTTCCAGCCAATATGATGTCATCTACATAGACAAGTAAGGCAGTGAAATCTGTAGAAGTGCCTTTGATAAAAAGAGAGTGATCAGATTTTGATTGAGTGTAGTTGACAGAAATGAGAAAGGAGGATAGTTTGTCGAACCATTGCCGACTAGCTTGTTTCAGTCCATATAGGGACTTAGTAAGCCTACAAACCTGACCCTCTTTATGGGTATTAAGACCAGGGGGTGGTTCCATATAAACTTCTTCATTTAAGTCTCCATGAAGGAAAGCATTGTCCACGTCAAGTTGATGGAGAAACCAATTATTTGAGGCTGCAAGGGCTATAAGGAGTCTAACAGTGGTGAGTTTAGCAACAGGAGAGAAAGTGTCTAGATAGTCTATCCCTTCTTGTTGTGTGTATCCTTTTGCCACCAGACGTGCCTTGTATCTTTCTACAGTACCATCAGCATTGTACTTAGTTTTGTATACCCATCGACATCCAATGGGTTTCTTGCCTGGAGGCAGCTGTGTTAAGTACCAGGTGTTATTGTCTTGCAAGGCCTTGATTTCCCTTTGCATAGCCTCTTCCCATACGCACATACCTTTGGCTTCACTATATGACCGAGGCTCATCATTGGCAGTAATGGCCATAGTATACTTTAAGTGTTTTGCTGTCAAAGATTCACAAGACAGTAGATTAGACATGGGATAAGGGGTTTTGAAAGTATTTTTCACAGACAAGGATTGATTGACCTGATGCACATAGTCATTGAGATATTCAGGGGTTTTTCTAACCCTATTAGATCTCCTGCAGTTATGATTCTCTTCATCATGAGCAGCATGGTCACTGTTATTGTTTTCAGTGACATTCTGTTGTGTCTCTATTTGCTCAGTGGTATCCAGCTCCGGATATCTAGCATCACCAATAAGGTCATGAGTGCCCAGGAGGTCGTTAAGAGAGGGGACTCCACCTTCTTCTTTGTCAGCAACATCTCTGCTGTTACATTGATCTTTGTAGGGAAAAATGTCTTCATAGAAGACAACATTTCTGCTTATAAAAAGCTCTTTAGTGTTTATATCAAGAACAACATAACCCTTGACCCCACTTTTGTAGCCAAGGAAAACACCTTTTCTAGCTCTTGGGTCAAGCTTATTTCTGCTGTTTTCAAGAGTAGAAGCAAAGCACAAACACCCAAAAACTTTGAGATTCAAATAGGTAGGAGGGACATCATAAAGAAGATCATAGGGAGTTTTGTTATTAAGAATGGGAGAAGACAACCTATTTATCAGGTAAACAGCATGACTAACTGCATAGGACCAATAGGCACTAGGCATATTAGATTGAAAAAGAAGACTACGAGTCACATTAAGAATGTGTTGGTGTTTTCTCTCCACCACAGAGTTCTGTTCAGGGGTCTCAACACAACTCTTTTGGTGATCAATGCCATATAAATTATACAAATTAGCACAGTTAAATTCTGGACCATTGTCTGATCTAACAACTTTGACCATTTTATCAAACTGATTTTTAATCTTGACAATAAAATTCTGTAATAAATCCCTTGTCTGACCTTTATTGTTCATTAAGAAAACCCAAGTATGCCTACTGTAGTCATCTACTACAGTGAGAAAATACTTATGGCCATGGACAGAAGAAGTGGAAAGAGGGCCCCATATGTTACAGTGAATAATCTGGAAACAGTCAGTAGTCAAAGAATTACTTTTAGGAAAAGGTAGTTTATGTTGTTTAGCATAGTGGCAAGAATCACAAACAATATCAGGACCCATTTGTACATAAGGGAAGTTTGCACATATCTGTTTCATAGTATTGTGTCCAGGGTGGCCTAACCTATAGTGCCACAAATTTACTCCAACATGTTCATAAGAGAAAGCAGATTTAAAAATGTAATTCTGATCAGGATTAGGAAAGGCTTGTAGATAGTAGAGTCCTTTGGACGGTTTAGCATACCCAATCATCTTCAATGTAGAATTCTCCCTTATCTGACAATCCTCAAAAGAAAAGGTTAGATTGCAATTTGAGTCTCTGATGAGACTTTGGACAGAAATCAGATTGAAACAAAAATCTGGGATATACAGAACATTAAAAATAACTAAAACTTTAGAAAATTGTACAGTCCCTGCATGTTTGGCAGTAATAACAGTGTTGTTGGGCAATCTGATAGAGATAGGTTTAATTTTGTAAAAAGTAACAAAGTTCTTCTTGTCATGGGTCACATGATCTGTGGCCCCTGTGTCAAGAATCCAAGAAGAAATACCTTGTTTAACCTCTGTGGTGTCTCTCTGCACTTGGTTAACTTTGTGAGTGGGTTCATCAACCTTCTCTATCATTTTGAGGAGCTTCTGCATTTGTTCAGGGGTAAAGGAATTGAGGGCAGCGTTGGTGCTGACCTGGTGTGCAGATTGAACACCCTCTAGGCTAGAACTGTTTTGACAAACGTTGGCAGAGCTCCAATCTCCTTTCCTGTCCGGATTGCTGTCAGGTTTCTTGTACCAAGGGGGGTAACCGTGTTTGGAATAGCACTCATCAACAGTATGATTCATTTTATTGCAATAGGAGCACTGTTTTCCATAGTTAGGGTTCCTTCCTCTTCCCCTTCCTTGACCACGTTGCCCATTACCACGTCCTTGGTTTTTCCAGTTATTGTTTCTTTCAGCAGTGCTGGCCAGAACTTTGATTTCAGCAGTTTGGCTCTGACTGACAGTAGCCAAATCTTGTCTCTCTTGCCTTTCTTGTTGCATGATTAAGGAGAAAACTCTATTGATGTTAGGGAGAGGGTCCATCAAAAGGATTTGGGTTCTTACAGTATTGTAGGTGTCATTCAGTCCTTTCAAGAAGCATATTACATGTTCTATTTCTCTGTACTTCAGAGAAATCTTTGAAAGCTCACAGCTGCAGGGAATGTCACAGGTACAAGTGGGTATAGGTCTAAGGGACTCTAATTCTTCCCATAGAATTTTTAAATCTGTGAAGAATTGGCTAACACCTCTCTCTCCCTGTTTAATTGAGTGGATGTCTTGGAGAAGATCAGAAATTTTGAAATAGTCACCTTTAGAGAATCTTTCTTTCAACTCTTCCCATAGCTCCTTGGCTTCTTCCACGTATATTACGCTTTCTGCAATTTCTGGAGAGAGAGTCTTTATCATCCAAGAAAGAACCATCATATTACATCTCTCCCAAGCATCAAACAGAACTTCACTTCTTTGAGGTTTCTTGATTGACCCATCTATAAACTTGATTTTATTCTTGGAAAGGAGAGCCCTCCTCATGCTTCTGCTCCAAGAAGAGTAATTGTTGTCATTTAGAACTTGAGAGATGAGAGTGAGTCCTGGATTCTCCCCAGGATGCAAGTAGAAAGGGCTGGTAGGATTAGCAGATTGATCTATGTGCTCCATAGCAGTAGAAAAAGATTAAAAGAAACAAGAATCAGTCCAAGAAATGATGCAAGACTTGGAAACAGGGGCAGCGGAAGCAGAGCAGATTTAAAATCTGCTCTGATACCATATTAAAATATGGCCCAACATAACTTTGAGCACTGTGCGGCCCAATTGTGGCAAAAGCCCGTGAGAAGACTTAATGTCTCTCTTGGACGAGCGTGTTGACGAAGAGACATCCTTCGTTCAGACAGCTGAGTGAGAGACAGAGCCTAGGGCTCTTCCGGTCGCTGAGAAGAAAAGTGGAATGGTGTGCTACAGTGCATGGACATTCGGGAAGAGACGTAACCGGCACAAAGGGCTTCCTCGGAGGTAAGAAAATGCTCTTGTTTTATTCACTGTAATAAATCTGTTTTTGTGTTACACATTACAACTGAAAATAAAATGGAGAACTCTATTTATAGAGTTCTTTGGGGAAAGGGGAAAACAACGGGAAAGTAAAACTGAAATAACCGATTACTGTCTTTAGACAGTAATCTCAATAGCCTCCCCTCAAGCTGGATGGTGTATGCTCACCAATCCAAGCTTGGGAACGATGGATCTGAACCGCACGCGATGGGGAAATTTTGTGAAGACATCTGCCAGCTGTTCATCCGACCGAACGGGGAGAAGACGTAAGAGATTGGCCTGTAGTTTTTCACGAACAACATGACAGTCAAGCTCTATGTGCTTGGTTCTTTCGTGAAAGCTCTGGTTATGAGCTATGTGTCGCGCTGATTTGTTGTCACAGTATAGGGCAGGAGTTCCAGTTTCCCGTACTTGAAGGTCTTGTAGGAGATAGTGAAGCCACTGTATTTCACATACAGTGGCTGCTAGGGCACGATATTCCGCCTCGGTGGAAGATCTGGAAACCGTGCTTTGTTTTTTTGACTTCCACGAAATGAGGGATGATCCAAGGAAAACACAAAACCCTGTAGTGGACCTTCGAGTAGTTGGACACGTTGCCCAATCTGAGTCGCTAAAAGCTTTTATATGAGTTTGAGAATCAGCCCCAAAGAACAAGCCCTCTGAGGGCTTAGATTTGATGTACCTGAGAACATGTTGGACAGCCCGATAGTGATGGTTAGTGGGAGATTTCATAAACTGACTCAACAGATTAATGGAAAAACACAAGTCAGGTCTGGTATTGGTGAGATATAGTAACTTCCCTATCAATCGTCGGTAGGGGCCAGGGTCATCTAAGTAGTTGTCTGCTTTATACAGTGTGCTTGTATCACTTAAAAAGGGAGTAGAAGATGGTTTGCATCCCAGCATTCCTGTCTCCTTAAGGATGTCCAACGCATATTTTCTTTGACATAGATGTATACCTTTCTTGGATCTGGCCACCTCCAAGCCTAGGAAGTATTTGAGTTCTCCTAGGTTCTTTATTTGAAACTTGTTGTGCAACAAAGTCTTTATGCTGTTGATTTCAGTCATGGAGTTTCCAGCCAATATGATGTCATCTACATAGACAAGTAAGGCAGTGAAATCTGTAGAAGTGCCTTTGATAAAAAGAGAGTGATCAGATTTTGATTGAGTGTAGTTGACAGAAATGAGAAAGGAGGATAGTTTGTCGAACCNGTCATAACAAAACAATATATAATATTACACAACCTATTCCATTTACAACACGGGGACATTCTCATTTACCTTTTTGTGCATTCAAGATTGCAAATAGGAAATCATAACAATGCTACAAAAGTGTTTCGTTTTCTTTGTTCATCGCAGATAATATTTCCCATATGTCACCCTTTGTGTATTAGAATGTAAGAGTGTGGTATGCAATCGTCACTTAATTATTGAGAATTTCATTTCGATTCTCAATGGCAACCACTTGACACTGAGCCATGCTAGATATTTTCTCAAAATGAACATTACTGGATCCCATTATGTCTATGAAGACATCGAGCCTAGTCGTCAACTTATGAAATTGTGAGTCCATATGTGCCTTCCGCTTTGAACCACGTGAAGATGGCATACTTGTGGATGGGACAAAAGGCACAAACTAAGTTTCCCTTGGACTATACTCGTCCATAGGTGGAGGAGATGATGGAGTTAGGTTAATAAACCCTTGAAACACGGGTTTTTGTTAACACTTTGACAAACATACCAAATCATTCAAGTAATAAATCGGTGCGACCACATATCGTTTTTCAAGAAACTCGTATAATACCAAACAATCGTATAATTGTTAACTAATATGGACTAAAGAATGATTCCATGAATTGAGTTTTGAGTGCAATTAAAGTAAATATGATGCATAAATGGTAAAAGTGAACTTTAGTAGCTAGAAACAATTCGAAGTGAAAAGACTAGAAATGATGTGAATTGGTATTGTTGGGGTAAAATATCACCTACTTCACTCTTATGCATGTAAAATTACATCTTATTCATTATATGCTAATGTCAATAATTTACTCAAACTCAATCCCTTGGTAGAGAGAGCCTATACTTTCTTATTGGATTTCAATCCCTTGATAACCCTAACAAGTATTTCCGCTTTAAGAATTGAGATATAAGACAACCAAATGTCTAAGTTTTATCTCTAGATACAATTTCCTTTAGACAATTTGTTCCAGATCTAGATTCACACATATTTCCCAATATCAAGAAAACCAATAATCAAGCTATGAGTAGCTAATTCATAACAAGCATTAAGAGAATGAACAAAATAATAGCGATCAAAGAAAGAAGCATCAATATATTAAGAACAATTGCAAATTACAAAAAAGTTCAATGGTTACATCAATCCCCCAACAAGAATGAAACTAGCTCTCAATTATCAAGGAGAGCACAAGCTTACAAATGGTGGAAGTGGAAGAAGAGGAAGACCCAAGGAACAAGGAAAAGTGTTCGCATAACTCCTAACCAGCCTTCAGGTGCTTTAGAAGAGAGATCTTGTGTCCAGCTACCCAAAGATCTAGATCTCTTTGCATTTTTGGGTTAAATAAACCAAATTTACCACATCAACAAGGGTGGCGCTCAACAGTGGGGTTCTGGCGCTCAGTGCCCTACTCCTTGGAATGCAACGCTCAGTACTGGCCTCTCTAGATTCAGCATTAGGGGGTGGCACTCAATGTTGGAGTTCTAACGCTTAACGCTAGCTTCTCCAGAATGCACCGGTTAGCACTGGCCTCTCTAGTCTTCATCAAATTCCCTAAGTTATGCAGATTTGCTTGTATCTTTGAATCCAGAGTTCTTCAATATTGCTGACGATCTTTAGAGCATCCATATAACTATCAAAAGAGGGAAATTTTATCATATTTTTCACAAGTGTAACCAACAATATGAATAATAACAAAAACAATATAAAGAGAGGATTTTAAGTAAGAACTAAGCTAAGGGAGAGCTGAATTTTCCACTAAAAATGTACTTAAATAATGGTAAGAATTAGTATCATCAAACTCTCCCAAACTTATAACTTTCCTTGTTCTCAAGCAAAAGGTAACTTGGTCTAGACAAGATAGCTCAACTATAATGGTTTAACAACTCAAGAACACAACTTCACTCAAGAGTATTAAATCGATCATGTTTACTCATTAGCAAAACCCACTCAAGAGATAATGTGGCTTTCACAAATCAAGCTTCAATTATGGTGCTTATGCATTATAAATCACACGATAGATGAAAAAGGTTTAATAAGGGATCAACAAAAATGGCAAAATGCTTTCATGAAATACATGGAACCATTCCTCACTAAAGAAGTGTTTCACTCAAGACTTTACTGTGTAAGGATGTGTTTCGTTCGCTCTACTACAAAAGACTTTGCCTTTCGTTTTAGCTAAAATAAACACATTCATAAGCAAACATTTTTTTTAGTAGTGCCTTTAACATTGAGGTATACACATCTTGTGAATGACTCTGATACCATATTAAAAAGTAAATTTAAACCTATCTCAACTCTACAAAATCAACTTGTAAGGTAAGGTTTAAACCCACACACACACACACATATATGTATATATATTCTAAATTGGCCTTAACTCTTGATGGCAAATACCCTAGTCATGGCACTTTCAAGAAAGTGGAAGCCATCCATGAAGATAACATCAACTCTACCTTGTGGGCCACCCTTGGAGCCATCATGGAGCATGGATTGAAGAGTAGTGTAGGATATCTAGGCCATTGTATTCGGCAATGTAGTGTAGGTTTGTTTAAGGCCTGTATTAAGACTTAAGTAGCATAGGATTTTCCTTAAGTTAGACATCCAAACCAAGTGGAAAGTGTGTGCCATGTGTCATGCTTCTATTGGAGAGAATTTGATTTTTAGAAGTGGCCACATGACACCTAGGGGTGGAGAGGATTTCTTTTTGGTAGTGGAAACAAGTACCTCCACCATTGGAGATAATTTTCTTTTAGTAGTGGCCACATGACACTCTAGGAATGAAGATGATTTTTTGTGAGTGGCCACATGTCCACCCATCATTGGAGAGGATTTGTGGACACTTGTCCACTCCTTAGAAGACCTTTTTTTGGCCAATTAGAGCAAAGGTGGGTGATCATGCTTTTAGGGTTAGAAGCAGACACTCATGACCTATAAATAAAGGTGTCTCCACCCTTTTATATTATCTTGGACTAATGTAATGTTATGCTGCCAAACTATGGCCATACACTTCCTAGATCAAGACTAGAGCAAGCCTAGAGGCCTCTAGTCACTGATAGGTGAAAAGTTTACTTGTTTTTGTTGCTTATATTGTGGGGCTTTTGAGTAAGTTTTTTTAGTGTTAATTCTCATGAAAAGTTATAATTGTTGATATAAGTATAATTTTGATTGTTTAAATGTTTTTTATGTTTTTGTTGTTTATTTTGATGTAAAATAAGGATTGGATATCATAAAAGACTTGGACGAGGCTCAATCGAGCTGTTCTGCCGAGTGTTTCACGCCCAGGCACGAGAAAAAGGAGCCCAAGCACGAATTTACAGAGAGCCTTCACGCCCGGGCGCGAGAAAAGGGCGCCCGGGCGCGCATTTCCAGAAAGTTTCGCGCCCGGGCGCGGAAAAACAGGGCGCCCGGGCGCCAATTTACAGAGAGGTTCGCGCCCGGGCGCGAGATAAAAAGGGGCGCCTGGGCGCCACATAGAATAAGGAGAGGACGCTCGTCCGTCCAGGGTCGTTCGTCCTGGGCCGCTCGTCCAGAAGTGGGACGCTGTTCAGATAGTGGACGCTCGTCCAGTCGTCCAAGACGTTCGCCAAAGTGCACGCTCGCCCAATGTACACGCTCGTCCAAGTTGACGCTCGTTCAACTCGCGGCCGCTCGTCCAGAAAATTGGACATTCGTCCAGCGCACCCACGCTCTCCAGGGTCGTTCGTCCTGGGCCGCTC